GTCTGTGAAGCTGCTGCAACCTTGCAAGAAAGGCGCCGCATTCGGGAGAGAACACCTTTTTTAGAATTCACCACCCTCCATCCGTGAAGCTGATTGAGTATGCTTAGACGAATGTGCGCGGCTTTATGGCGATAGTATCATATATATATATATATAAATAATCAGAATGTACCTTCGATCCCTGAAGCTGCTGCAATCTGTTAAGACGACTGTTCGGGGCGCGAAGGCGACAACCCCGTTTTGAAGAAGGAGTCGTTCTCCATCTTCGAAGCTGTCACATAGATTCAAGACGACTACGCACGGCGCTAAGGCGAGAGATCCCCATGTTGAAAATCCCTCCTCCGTCCTCGAAGCTGCAAGCCTTGTAGACGAATGTGCGCGGCGCCAAAGTGAAAGCCCCATTTTGATTCAGGTGGCTGTTTCAAATTTCTAGCTCCAGACTTTTGAGTGGTCCAAAAGTCTAGCGAAACGCCCAACTCGTCCTACCGGCACGCCTTGGTGGGGCGACAGGGAGGAGTGAATGCGACGGCAAAGGGCTCCGTAGAGGAATGGCCGCTCCCTCCAGGGAGGAGCCTGGGCTTGACGAGCGCAGGGCACGGAAGATCTCTCTCCCAAGGCGGCCTGCCCTCCGCGCGGTCCGTCGCCTCCCGCATCTGCGCCGTGTCCTTCGGCACGATCGCCATGGACAGGGGGTGGGGTGCCGACGGGTTGCCGGGACGCAAGAGCGGATCGCGAGAATGTGGAGGGTGCGAACGAAGGCCAGGAGGAGGAGGAGGAGGAGGAGGAGGAGGAGGAGGAGGAGGACTGCCGTCTGTCTGTCTGTCTGTCTGTCTGTCTGTCTGTCTGTCTGTCTGTCTGTCTGTCCGTCCGCTGCGTTACTCTTATTATATCATATGGAAAGACTTGGTCTAACCAGGGTTGGCCGGAGGTTGTTGGCCGGATCTCAGGGGGTTGGCGGGGAAGGTTGGCTGGGCCTGCCGTCGCACGAATTGACAATCGACGTTGGTTCTGACAAATGCGGCTTTCGCCTGAGACATCCTCAGAAAGAAACGGGATATGGTTGTAAAGACAAGGTTCTTGCCTGAGACACTGTGAGGAACTCTGATGCGAAGTGGAGGGGCCATGGTAGAATGCGTAGCACAGCACAGCACAGAAGCGAGTATCATCGTATTTCACGCCATGGTGTGGCATACATGTCATAATGTTGTTTGACTTCAGCTCCTTACCAGTTTCGTGGGCTCTGAAGTCGTGAGTTCCTCCGTGCGCCCCTGCGGGGAGGCGGTGAAGGCTTTGGGTTCTCTCTCACGTGGCCCCGCCGGGTGACCAGCGTTTTGGTTGGCCGGGCCGCCCCCTGGCCTCGTCGTCGCCCTGGGCGACGGGGAGGAGGGGGAAGAGGAGGAGGAGGAGGAGGAGGAGGAGGAGGAGGAGAAACATCATGAGGAGGAGGAGACGGAGGAAGAGGAGGAAGAGGAGGGAGGAGGGAGGTGGAGGGAGGAACGCACGGGGTCCAAGCAATTGCATCATACCTTATGGCAGCCACCCTGGCCTCAAGTTCGCCAGCTAGCAGTAGTTTGCGTTCTGGCCTCAACCTCGGCTTCACTTCGGCCCCCACTCACAAAGGCCAGAAAGAGGAGGACGGTTACCCCATCCATTACTTGCGTGACAAGCGCGATTAAGCAGTGTGTGTCAAGACGTGGTTGAAGGCGCACAAGATCATACAGGGTTGCGTGCCACCTGGGCGGACCTCTCCCGAACGGCCAGCGGATCGATAACGTCAGCTTCGGGTGGCGCTACGACCAAACCTTCGCCGAGCTTGGCCAGAGGGAGGATTTCCGAACTCCGCGCGCCGACGCAAACGTCCAGACTGTACCGGCTGCCGTTGCCTGGACGGCGCAGTGGATGAATGACCGTCCAGAATGCACGGTGACAGCATGGCTGATGTCGGGGGTCGCCGCGCAGGCGCACTACGACAAAGCGGGCATCGGCGACCTCGTGGCGCGCGCCAAGTGCGCTATGGGCGCGGTCGAGTGCCAGGAGGTGACCGGGGAGTGTGCGCGCGCCGTAGGTCTGTGGGGGACGGTGGCCATTTTCGTCGGCGAACAGGTGCACGACGCCAAAGGCCACGCGGCAGACGGTGGGGGGCCCGGGGCCCCGGTCGAGGCGGCCGCGATGCAGGCCGCGCCGAGGCTGCAGAAGCCCGCGTCCGCAGCGCGGAAACGGTAGATAGACGGGGACAACAAGCGCAAGGCGGCCGCGGTGGCCGACGACAAGCGGGCTGTCGTGAACACTTTATCGCGGAAGCTGCGCGAAGATCAAGGCCGAACGAATGGATGAATAACGGAAAGTGGCTGATAAGGAATTCGATGTCGTCCGGGAAGCGGTCGTGGATCACTTTGAGCAGAGTTCGGCAGCGCGCAGAAGGCGCCCCCCAAGGCCGTCCGAGACAGGTTGGCCAAGGCCTGCAAGCGCGCCCAGACGATGGCGCCAGGGCGGCACAAAGACATGCGCAGCCTGCGCCCTGCGCCGCGAGGCCCTGGGAGCAGCTGCAGCGGAGCGCCGGCCAGAACGCCAGGGTGGCCGCGCGGCTCCAGAATTGCTAAACGTTGTCGCTGGCCCAGCGCGCGGAGGCCCTAGATCACCAATTCGGCCCTTGTGGGCCGATCGCGGCGACGAGCAGTTCGTTTTCTTCGATGCGAGCTTTGTCTTCATCGAGAGGCGCCCGCGCGCCAACTGCAAAACATCTCGGGGCGTTGGCCGGGGGCTTGGCCGGGGGGTGTTGATAGGGGTTGGTCAGAGGCTGGCCGGGCTCATCTTCCCCCCTCTCGCCCCCCCCTCCCCCATCTGAGGGGCATGGGCGAAGGGGTCGATCGGCGGCCGCGCCCCGCTGTTGCCGGATTGAGGATGGAAGGCCAGCTGGCGGTGGTGGTTCGCAACCATGATTCCGCGGGCATCGGGGCAGTGCCGGGCGGGCGGCCGTCCGCGGCGTCGCGGGGGCGCTACGCGGAGAGAGGGGGAGGCGGGAAGGGCAGAGAAGAGGATGGGGGGAGGGTGGCGAGAAGAGGACGACGGGGGGGGAGGGGGAGGAGGAGGAGGAGGAGGAGGAGGAGGCGGAGGCGGAGGCGGAGGCGGAGGCGGAGGAGGCGGTGCGGAGGCGGAGGCGGAGGCGGAGGCGGAGGCGGAGGCGGAGGCGGAGGCGGAGGCGGAGGCGGAGGCGGAGGCGGAGGCGGAGGCGGAGGAGGAGGAGGAGGAGGAGGAGGAGGAGGAGGAGGAGGAGGGCGAGGAGGAGGAGGAGGAGGAGGAGGAACGAACGCGGGGAGTGTCCCTTCAAAGCGAGGGCTCAACGACAGGTTGGTTGAGAACAAGTGCTACTCTTTCGGCATTTATTTATGAGGCGGCATGAACAACAAATGCCGGAAGGGGTGCGTTTATTAGCGAAAAGGATGAGTGCCGAGAGTTTTGATATGCATGTTGAAGCACACGCGGGCTATGAAGATCGGGCGTTTCTTCTACATAATCATGATTGGCTTCTCATGTCTGGGAGTGGCATTGGTGACCTCCTGTCACTGCTGCCTATCGTGCTTTCCCAATTCAAGTGCCCCCTTCGGCGCTCCCACTTCGTTTTTTGCTCCGGGAATCTCCTGTTGTTCAGACTGCGATGCTGGCCCCCGAACTATAACAACAACGGCTCCTGCCTGAGATTTCCGCACAACTATTAAGCACTCGCGCTCCTTTCGAGATGTCGTTACAATGTGCACCAGAGATTTCTTTCACTTTTTTGCGTGGGCCATTTTTTGTTTATGGTGTGAGACCGCCTGGGAAGTCGGGTTCCGTCTTCCACCATGGGGGGATGTCCCCCCTGGCTGCCCTCAACTTGCTGTCCCCGCGGCGCCCGTTTCTCAACAGCAGCGGCCTCTGGCCAACCCACCCTCTTCCTTGGGGATTCTATGGGGCCCTCTTGCGCTGCCGCGGGGCTGTCTTGGGGCCCTCTTTGGTCTTGAGGGCGTCCGCGGTTCCTCCAGGGCAACTCTCGCGCGCTCTTCGGTCCCACTCGGGCCCCCGAGAGCCCCGCTTGGTCGTCACGTGGATCTCTGGAGGCTCGCCGCGGGACGCCCTCTCGGGGCTCTCTTGAGGTCAGATTCCTCGGAGGCCCTTTCGGAGCTGTCTGGAGCCGACAAGGGCGCGACGCAGAAGATCGGGGTCGTCTGCACGGAGACTGGCGCGGATGCTGCCCGCGTTAACGTCGCACCTAAGTGCTGCGCTGCGGCCTGCGCAAGCCACCGCATAAGGTCGCTTTTACCCTCTCGCGCAAGACATGCTTTTTCGTCGCTCGATTGGGGAAGCGCGAAGATGCAAAAGTCTTGCCGTCTTGGGCCATGGTGGAGGCAGTCAGCTCCCATGCCGCCTTGGGTCTCTCTCGGGGCCTGCCGTGGACGGCGTGCCCCGAGGCCCTTTTTTTGGCTGCCCAGCGCCGCGTGGTGCCACGAGTGGTAGCCCGTAGCCCGACGTCCGATTTGGGTGCCCAGTGTTGCACCATCCCCCGACTACGGCACGTGTCTCTTCGACTTTGTACCCACGTCTGTTCTAGATGCGACTGCTGGCTCCGATTCCGTCCCCAATTCCACTACGGCTCCCATCTATCCAGTTCCTGCATGACCTTCTCTGGGCCCTGGCCCGCCCGCGATGCCCTCGTAGGGCCGGTCCGTCGGACCGTCGGTGCGCGCTCGCTTGTTCGCTCGCCCACTGGCTGCTGGCATAACGTGATGCCGCAAATAATGCCTGGAGGTCCTCTCTGTATGCCCAGTGCCGCGTGGCGCGGGCACGTGCGCAGTCATGGTGCTGCCCAGGATTTTTCTACAGGGTGCCATCCGTTTGTTGTTGCTCATGGGGGAGTTCTTTCGTGTCCATGGCTATTTGCCGCTCGAGAACTTGTCAGGACGGTGCCAGACATGGGTCTTGTATTTATATCGATCGATTGTTGCGCAGTTCCCCTTCCCGACGACTGGCTCGCCATATTTTTTATCCGACGACTCGCTCGCCTGTAGCTGTTTTAGCTCAAGAGCTTCTTCTAGAGTGCCTCAGGCCACCAGCTCGCAGTTCACTTTGCGCCTCTCATTCGCGGCGATACCGAGCTGCATCACGAACGGCAGGGCAGGCTGCATGACCAGGAGCAGGAGCCCACACACATCGCGACCATCCTTGCACCAGTGCTCTGGCTTACATGCCGGAGAGGGCCGCATGCCTGCGCCACCACCTCTACACGCGCCTGCAGAGCTCGATTTCCCTCGCGCTTCGGCCGCTCTGCGTGCAATGGTCGTCAGCAGTGTTAGGCTGCGCGACATGCGCTTCCACACCTCAGCAGATCTGAGCGGCTCCGATGCTCGTAGCAAGGACCCCGACTACAGCTGTGTGTACGCTGAGGTGTCCTTCTCGCGCAGCGCCGACCCGTCTGGCCAGTGGGGCAGTCGTGAGGTCGTCGGCGTCGGAATTGCCTTCTCGCTTGGGCGAGGCAACGAGCTGGTGCTGCAGGCGGCGCAGCTGCTTAGTCGCGGGCTTCGCGGCCTTTCCCTCGGTGAGCTAGCGGACAACTTTGCTGCAGCGTGGCGGCGCATCGTGGGCGCCGACGACGGGCAGCTGGTGTGGATGGGCCCGGAGAGAGGCGTCGTCCACATGGCGTCCGCATCGCTCGTGAACGCCGCGTGGGATGCGTGGGCAAAGTACGAGGGCTTGCCGCTCTGGAGGCTGGTCGCGTCGCTCCCGGCGGCGCAGCTGGCGGCTGCCATCGACCTCACTGGTATCAAGGACGCGCTCGGCTCCGCGGCCGATGTGGCGGCCTCGCTGGAGGCCCACGGCGCCGCAGTCGCGGAGCGTGTGGCCGAGCTGGAGCGCACCGGGGTGGCGTGCTACACGACGGCGACGGGGTGGGCCGGTTACTCGGACGCCAAGGTGGAGGAGCTGGTGCAGGCCAACCTCGCCCTGGGCTTCACCCGCTTCAAGATGAAGGTGGGCCTCGGCCGGGAGGCGGACCTGCGCAGGGCGCGCCTGATGCGCGCCGCGCTCGACGCCTTCGCCGCCTCGCGTGCCGCCGCAGGCGCGGCTTGTGCGGCGGCGGCGGAGGAGGACCCAGTGGAGCTGATGATGGACGCGAACTCGGTGTGGGAGGTGGACGAGGCTGTGGCGGAGATGCACGCGCTGGCGCCCCTGAAGCCGCGCTGGATCGAGGAGCCGATCTCGCCAGACGACGTGGTGGGGCAGGGCGCGATCGCTGGCGCGCTACGCGCGCACGGTATCGCGGTGGCCTCGGGCGAGCAGTGCCAGAACAAGGTGATGATGAAGCAATTCCTTGAGCTGGGGCTGGGCGTCTGCCAGGCGGACGCCGTCAAGATGGGCGGGTTAAACGAGTGGCTTGCATGCGCGCTGCTCGCGCGGCGCAAGGGCGTGCCGATGTGTCCGCACGCTGGCGGCGTCGGCCTCTGCAACATGGCGCCGCACCTCTCGTGCATCGACTACGCGGTGGTGAGCGGCGAGCGTACAGGTCGCGTCACCGAGTACGTCGACCACCTGCAGGAGCACTTCGAGCGGCCGCTCTCTCTCCTGCGAGGTGGCCGCTACGCCGCGCCCACTGCGCCCGGCTGGGGCCTCGACATGAAGGCCGAGTCCCTGGCCGCCTACGAGTGGCCCACTGGGTCGTACTGGGCCAGCCGCCCCGATCACTTTGATTGCGCTGGCACGCCCTGGTGAGCTGTGCCGCGCGGGCCACGGTGCATCGCTGTGAGGCGCGCGCAATGTTTCCCCCGTCCGCTCCCTCGCCTCCCCCACCCCCATCATGACCTCCCTCGCATCCCGTGTCGAAGGTCGCCCGTATGGGTGCGAAGATACCAGCGCTTCGATCGCGGCCTGGGCCATGGATATGCCCTTCTCCGGCGGGCGGCGGGGAAGTGCCAGGATGCCTGTTCATCGCGTTTCGTGTATTGCGAAGCACGAGGTGGGACGACCCATGGATCTGATGGCCTCTCTCCTCTGCCCCTCCCCCTTCCCCCTTCACTCCGTTCTCCGCCCTATGCCCCTTCTCTCTCTTCCCGCCTGCCCCCTTTCCTTGGGCCTTGGCAAAGCAAAGAAGGATTCAGTACGGAAATGATGAGCCACGTCTTTTGCAGAGTTCATGCGGGCAGGCCATGTTGGCGATGGCTCGCGCTCTTGACCGTTTCGCGAAGGAGAAGGCCCTGGGCGTAGACTCGGCCCCGCTTCCTGCTCGGCCTGTAGAGACCGCCACCGTCCTAGAGTCCGACGAAGGGGGCGTTCAATGCATCACCGTATGTCGTTGTCTGGGCAGAGGCAGGCGCGCCCTAGCGGTGCCGATGGATGCCGTGGAAGTGCGACCGTCATCCGCGAGCCCTACAACGGGAACGATTAGGATGCCGCTTGCATGAAGCCTGTGGTCTTGCTCTTGAGACCAGCCAATGCTTTTCCAGGGTCGCCACGGGCCAGATATTTGGATGCAGTTTTCTGGTTTGGCCAGCGGCGAGAAGTTAGCCTGGCGAAGGACCCAACCATGTGCAGTTATGAGTATCGCTGTTGTGGGTATCGCCTTCGGTGGAGCTCCCTATGGGGCCACGAAGCGCTGTACTGGGTGTGGGAGACGCATGCGAACTGCGTCACTGGGACCTTCGGTGGAGCTCCCTATGTGGGACCACGAAACGTTGTGCTGGGTGGGGGGGACGCATGCGAGCTGCGCCGTTGGGACCTTCGGTGGAGCTCCCTCTGGAGCCACGAAGCGCTGTACTGGGTGGAGGGGACGCATGCGAATTGCGACACTGGGACCTTCGGTGGAGCTCCCTCTGGGGCCACGAAACGTTGTGCTGGGTGGCAAGCAAGCAAATGCTGAGTACGAAACGCACATGAGCACATAGCCACTATCACGTGGCATCGCAATACTTGCTGACTGCGACACGCCACGCCGTGGCCGAAGAAATGGTGTCCTGCCAAAGCGCTGGAAGGGCCTCCACACCCCCAGCTGCTTCGCAGGCGTGCCTGTAAACTTCCTGGTGCCACGTTGCTCGTGGTCGCCCCCTCTTTCTCTGGGTGGGAGGGGGGAGGAGGAGGGAGGATAAGGGCTGGAACACTGCGCAAAGCACAGCGTCGTCACCTGGCTTTCTGGCGATATGACCAAGCAAAAGAAGCTGTCTACAGAGGAGCGTGCTGCTAAGTGGGCGGGCGCCGGCCCGTTGAAGCACGGTGTCGTTCGAGACTCTGCTGATGTATGAGTGAGCAATGCGCAAGAGCTTACGCAGACATCGCGCCTGGAACGCGTCCAAACGACACAGCTCGTGCTTGTTAAGATACGAAGTGTGCAGACAGTACAACAGCTTACTTAAAACGCAATAATCAAACATCTGAATCTTCTTCTGTTGCATGAGAGTGGAAAGGCTCCATACCCTGGCTAATTTGTCCAATTCTGCCCCTGCCGCTCCTAGACGGCGTGACAGCTCTGAACCTATTTTGCCGTCGTCGCTAATCAAACTACCTAAATACACAATGCTTCTTTTCTGTGGGATCGGGGTGCCGTCTGGCTGGAGAATGCATACGTCGGCTCCTACAGCCAAGGCTTCTAACTTGCGCCAATTAAGCTGTAAACCGTACTGCAGCCCCATATGTTGTACGGCATGCATGTGCGCCTCGGCTGATGCGCCAGAGGTGGCTAGCAGAAGTGTGTCGTCTGCATATACAAGTTCATTCGCATGCGTGCTCTTATTCAGATAGGGATCGGTCTCTCTTTTTGCATCGCGCAACAAAGTGGTCATCAATATTGCGAACAAGAATGGAGAGAGCGGACATCCCTGACTGATGCCGAATGCTTGTGGATGCTTTACCGATGTTTTCCAGCGTCGCGGAGAGAAAAGGTACGATCTGTGCACGCACAACTTGTATGAAGTGGCTGGGGACGCCGAACCGCTCCAATGAAAGGCACAACGCATCGGGCGAAACACTGTCAAATGCCTTCGCCCAGTCCATAACCAGCAAGACTAGGCGCCCGCTTTTCTCTGCCCATGTACGTTCAAGCAAGCGCCGAACGAGGAAGATCTCGTCCGCTGTCCCGTGCTTGCTCTTGAAGCCGAACTGGGTGCTCCACACTCTCTGTTCAGCACTGGCTGCTTTCAGACGGTTCAAAAGAATTGTAGAGAACATTTTATATCCAATCGACAGCAAGCTTTTTGGACGAAGATTTTCACAGTTTGCAACGTCGCACTTTTTTAAGATAGCCGTGACGAGCGCCTTGTGCCAGGCGTCAGGAACCACGCGTTCGTCCCAACACTTGTTGCACAGTGACACGGCCCACCTGCAGGCAGGGGCCCCTGGAGTGCAAATCGATTTCCAGAACTCGCCTGGAACTCCGTCTGCGCCGGCGGCCTTTCCCCTCTTCAGTTTGACAGCCGCTGCCAACACCTCGTCCTCGGAGATGGGATCACAACACGACACAGGTAAAGTAGGACCCAAGTTGTCTGTGCAATCGGCGGCTGAAGTCGGCCGAACAGCCCATTGGAATTGGGCGAAATACTGTGCCATAGTGTCGGCGCGCTGGTCCGAGTCCACGATCTCTCCGCTCGAGTTCGCGAGCCGGCCTTGCTTCGAGGCTGCGCCTTTCCGAAGCTGCCGGATCGGCGCCCACTCCCCCGTGGCGAGGCTGCTCTCCAACCACTGCGACCTATCTGACTTCACAGATGCCCGGACCTGCCTGGCGAGCTCGCACTCCTCTTCATGCGACCCGTGCTCACGAGCGGCGTTGCGCTTCTCGATGAGCGCAAGAGTGCCCGACGAGATCCAACGCCTCCTGGGCAGCAGCTTCGTGTCAGGGAGTACGCGGTCGGCGGCGAAACAGAATGCTTGCGTCATCCGTTCGTTCAAGGATTGGGCGGACTCGACCACGGCATCGTCGCTCTCCGAGCCCATCTGCTCGCAGAAGGCTTCGGCAAATGATTTCGCAGCGCTCGGGTCCCGCAGAACAGAATAATCTTTCCGTTTCTTGTCAGCCCTCGGCTCTGTCCGGAGGATGTCGATCAGGACGCGGGCTTGTACAAGGAAGTGGTGCGATGCCAACGCTGCGGCGCGGTCGTTCCAAACACGTTGCACCGAACCTTTCCACTCCGAGCTGATGAGAAATAAATCTAGTTGGCTGAAATGCTGCTCAGTGGAGGGGTCTGCCGGAGATGAGCCGATGTCATAATAAGTGATCCGTCTCTCCGCCGGCTCGTCGAAGAGCGTGTTTGCAACAGTCAGGCCCCGAGAAGTACATAGCTCGACCAGGAAAGAACGGTTCGAACATGGGTTGTGCTGCGCACGAGGGTTGCCGAATATGTGTGCGCCCAAAACTTCTTCCTCCCCAGGGCGCCGTGCGTGAAGCCTCGCGTTGAAATCGCCACATGCCAAAACAGGCCCAGGAGAAGATAACGACCCAAGAAATGTGTTCAGCTGTTGAAAGAAAACCTGCCTCTCCGTTGGCGGCTTCCCGCTGTGAGGGGCGTAAACGCTGCCCAAAACAATCTTGCCACCAACAACTCTCAACTTCAGAGAAGCCATTCGACGCATTCGAACTGCGCCACTGGGACCTTCGGTGGAGTTCCCCATGGGGCCACAAAACGCTGTACTGGGTATGGGTGACGCATTCGAACTGCGCCACGGGGACCTTCGGCCGAGCTCCCTATGGGGCCCCGAAGTGCTGTAACTCCATGTGGGGGAAGCATGCGAACTGCGCCACTGGGACCTTCGGTGGAGATCCCTATGGGGCCACGGAACGCTGTGCTGGGTGGGGGAGACGCATGCGAACTGCGCCACTGGGACCTCAGGGTGGAGCTCTCTCTGTGGGGCAACAAAATGTTGTACTGGGTGGGGGAGGCGCAGTCGGATTGCGCCACTGGGACCTTAGGGTGGAGCGCCCTATGGGACCACGAAATGCTGTACTGGGTGGGGGAGACGCACTCGAACTGCGCCACGGGGACCCTCGGTGGAGCTCCCTATGTGGGGCCACGAAACGTTGTACTGGGTGGGGGGAGACGCATGCGAACTGCGCCACTGGGACTTTCGGTGGAGCTCTCTATGTGGGGCCACGAAACGTTGTGCTGGGTGGGGGGGACGCATGCGAACTGCGCCACTGGGACCTTCGGTGGAGCTTCCCATGGGGCCACAAAAAGCTGTACTGGGTGGGGGAGGCGCATGTGATTTGCGCCACTGGAACCTTCGGTGGAGCTCCCTACGGGGCCACGAAGCGCTGTACTGGGTGTGGGAGACGCATGCGAACTGCGCCACTTGGACCTTCGGTGGAGCTCTCTATGAGGCCACGAATCGCTGTACTGGGTGTGGGAGACGCATGCGAATTGCGCCAGTGGGACATTTGGGGGAGCTCCCTACGTGGGGCCACGGAACGTTGTACTGGGTTGGCGAGACGCATGCGAATCGTGCCAGTGGGACCTCAGGTGGAGCTCCCTCTGAGGCCACGAAGCGCTGTGGTGGGTGGGGGAGACGCATGCGAACTGCGCCAGTGGACCTTCGGTGGAGCTCTCTATGTGGGGACACGAAACGCTGTGCTTGGTGGGGGAGGCACACGCGAACTGCGCCACTGGGACCTTCGGTGGAGCTCCCTATGGGGCCGCGAAGCGTTGTACCGGGCGGGGGAGGCGCATGCCATTTGCGCCACTGGGACTTTCGGTGGAGCTCCCTATGGGGCCACGAAGCGCTGTACTGGGTGTGGGGGGCGCATGCGAACTGCGCCATGGACGTTAGGGTGGAGCTCCCTCTGGGGCGGAGGAGGCAGGAGGGGGAAGGTGAGGGGAGGAGGAAGACAGAAGAGGAGAGGGCAGGAGAGGAGGAGGAGGAGGAGGACGAACGCGGGGCGCTGTCCCTTCAAAACGAGGACCCAACACCACAGGACGGTTGGGAAAACAAAGTAGCCTGGCGAATGACCCAACCATATGCAGTTCTGCGTTCTCCAATTGTGAATATCTTCTTCGGTGGCGCTCCCTATGGGGCCACGAAAAGTGTGAAGTGTGTGCCGAACTGGGTGCGGCGGACGCGTGTGGACGGTGGCACTGTGGTCTTCGGTGGAGCTCCCTACGGAGCCAAAGAGCGTGTGAGCCGGGTGCCGAAATGGGTGCGGAGGACGCATACGCGCGTTGACACTGGGGCCTTCTGTGGAGCTCCCTATGTTGCCACGAAACGTGTGAGGGGTGTGCCGAAATGGGTGTACTGGACGCAAACGGACGGTGGCGTTGGGGCCTTCGGTGGAGTTCCCTATGTGGCCACGAAGCGAGTGAGGGGTGGGCCGAAATGGGTGTGGGGGACGCATGTGGCCGGTGACATTGGGGCCTTCGATGAAGGTCCTTACGGGGCCACGAAGCGTGTGAGGGGTGCACCCAAGTGTGTGTGTATGTGTGTGTGTGTGTGCGCCTGTCTGCCTGCCTGCCTGCCTGCCTGCCTGTCTGCCTGTGTGTGTGTGTGTAGGTGTGTGTGTGTGTGTGTGTGTGTGTGGCGCAAGCGAACGGTGACACTGGGGCCTTCGATGGAGCTTCCTATGTTGCCACGAAACGTGTGAGGGGTGTGCCGAAATGGGTGCAGAAGACGCGTGTGGACGGTGGCATTGGGGCCTTCGGTGGATGGGGCAACGAAACTTGTGAGGGGTGTGCCGAAATGGGCGTGGGGGACGCATGTGGACGGTAGCTCTGGGGCCTTCGGTGGAGCTCCCTATGGGGCAACGAAGCGTGTGGGGGGCGTGCAGTGCGGGGGACGCATGTGGACCGTAGCACCGCGGCCTTCGATGGAGCTCCGTCTAGGGCCACGAAACGTGTGAGGGGTGTGCCGAAAGTGGTGTCGGGGACGCATGTGGACGTTGGTACTGGGGCCTTCGGTGGAGCTCCCTGTGGGGCCACGAAACGTGTGAGGAGCGCGCCGAAACAGAGACATGCGGAGGCCATATGCAGGGAGGGGGAGGAGTGAGGAGGGGGAGGTGGAGGAGAGAAGGAGAGGAACGCGGGGACCGTCTCTTCAAAACGAGAACCCAGCACCACTGGATGGTTGGGAATGGTCTTGTGCCCAGGATTGGCCTGGCCAGGTTTGGCGTCGGTGTACACATGGGGGCTCTACTGGACGTGCGCAGGGCGCCTGTGGCGAGCCCAACTGAGGGCAGTGCGGACCTGCCCTCTTGCCCTGGAGAATATTCAGCAGTTTATGCTCGCCTGGCATGGTCGGTCTGGAGGAGAGGGAAGAGGGGGTCGTGAGCTCGGGGAGGAAGAGAGGTGAAGGAGGCACACGGAGCGCAGGGTGTGTCCAAATACTCCCAGGCCCCCTGCTCGGAGGTTCTGGCATCCAGTTCAGTGGCTCTGAAGGAGGAGGAGGAGGAGGAGGAGGAGGAGGAGGAGGAGGAGGAGGAGGAGGTGGAAAAGGACCAGCAGGAGGAGGAGGAGGAGGAGGAGGAGGAGGAGGAGGAGGAGGAGGAGGAGGAGGAGGAGGAGGGACGACGATCAGACGAGGAACCGCCGATCCGAAGGACTCGGGGCCTCATGCCGGCATCGGCGGGGGGATCAAAAGGCGCGGACCGGCTCGGGCGGCCGACTTGGCTGTCCAGCAGTCTTCTGCATCGCGTCGGCAAGCCCGCGCCAAATGCAAACGTCCCCATGGCACTTCAACGTCAGTGTAGTTGGTTCTCCTCTGTTTTGTTGGTTCTCCTCTTCGTACGGCTTCCTCTCTGCAGGGCCCAGCACCCGGATTACGTTTCTTCCCCGAAATCTCTTCCCGAGGTCATCGTGGCGCGCGAGCGGATGGCGCGCTGCTACAACGGGGTCACCTACCTCGCCGCCAAGGTCGTCTTGCTGCCCTCTGCGCCTTCGCTGCTGTCTGTGTGGGGTTACCGTGGGCCGACGGACACGAGCTGGGAAGCAAATTCATCATGAGCATTGCCGGCTTCCCAGAAGTGGGGTCCCCCGACCGCCGCCGGCGCCCCTTGCCCCCTCCCGCCCCCTGTCCGCCCCCAACGCGACGACCCTCGCCCCCCCCCGCCCCCCGCCCGCCCCCCGTCGTGCGTGCTTGCTTGCTGCTCCTTTGCCGCCTCCCCTCCCCCCTCTCTTCCTGCATGGTTATGTATGCTCGCCGCGTTTTTCCTCCCCCTCCTCCTCCTCCTCCTCCTCCTCCTCCTCCTTCCTCCTCGCCGGACAGCACGGCCTGCCCGGAAGCAGCGTGGCGGCGCGCAGGTCTGCAAAGCAGGCAGGTCGCAGGCAGCGTCATAGACAGCTTCTCTTTGAAGGCTCCAGGAGGCTGCGGAGGCAGAGGCGGAGCCGCCTTGCTTCATTTCCGCCGCCTTTTGAAGTGGGGTCCAAGCTGTTGCAGCTGACCGAGAAGGAAGATATGATGATGCTGTTGATGACGATGCTGCTGCTGATGATGATGATGATGATGATAACGATGACGATGCTGCTGCTGATGATAATGATGATGCTGTTGTGGATGATGGGGATGATTAGGATGATGACGAGGATGATGATGACGATTCCAATTATGATGATGATTATGATAATTGTGATGCAGACGATGCTAATGAGGACGAGGAAGACGACGACGATGATGATGATGCTGATGATGATGATGTTGATGCTGATTATGATGATGAGGATGATGAGGATGACGATTGGATGTCGACGACGACGATGATGGTGATGATGACGACGGCGACTGTGATGTTGATGTTAAGGTTGGTTATAATCACGATGGCGATGACGATTACGATGGTGATGATTATGATGATGCTGATTTTGAGGATTGTGATTCTCATTTGATGATGAAGATGATGTTGAGGAGGAGGAGGAGTGTACTTATGATGCTGCTGATGATGACGATGATGACGATTCTGGTGCTGATGCTTGTGCTGATGTGATGTTGATGACGACGATGATGATGCTGCTGATGTTAATCCTGCTGGTGGTGGCGATGATGATGATGATGATGATGATGATGATGATGATGATGATGATGATGATGATGATGCTGCTGCTGCTGATAATTCTGATTATGATTCTGATTCTGATTATGATTTCGACGATGACGATGATGATGACGATGATGATGATGATGCTGATGCTGCTGATAATGATGATACTGATGCTGATACTGATGCTGATGCGGATGTTGTTGCTGATGCTGCTGATGGTGATGTGATGGTGATGGTGATGGTGATGGTGATGGTGATGGTGATGGTGGTGATGATGATGGTGGTGGTGGTGGTGGTGATGATGATGATGATGATGATGATGATGATGATGATGATGATGGGCAAAGAAGGTAGGCACAGCCCAGGGAGGAGGATGAAGAGAAGGAGGAGGAGGAGGAGGAGGGGAGGAGGAGGAGGTGGAGGAGGAGAGGAGAACAAGGACCAGGAGGAGGAGGAGGAGGAGGAGGAGGAGGAGGAGGAGGAGGAGGAGGAGGAGGAGGACAAGACCACAGGCGAATACGTCATCAGCAGGGGGCACCATTTAAGGTCAAAGGCGAGGGGCCCAGGGCACCACTACCGCCAGGACCACCCGAAAAGGCCAACGAGGCGAACGACGCCACTCCACCCAAGAGCATCCACATGATGCGGTATCAGAGCAACTGCAACAACGACAGAGTTTCGCAAGAAGGTCATCTTCGCCATCTACCAGCTCAGCCACCGTGACCGAATTCTGACGGGAGCATCTACAAGCCGCTCAGATCATACAGGACATCGCGAGGGACATGCTCACAGGCCCCATCAACATGGGGTTGATATCGGAAAAGCTCTGGGAAATCCAGAGCGGTGCGGACAAGGTATGCACCACTGGCAGTCACCCAGGATTCAGCAATGACGCCCCAGCGCCGACTATTCACGACCCGGCCGCGGTATCATGCAGAGAGCACGGCTCGAGATGGTGCATCGGAGGCAACCCAAAGAGGCGGTAAATGCAACAGATGCAACGGCACAGGCATCATAGCCCGCAGTAGACCACGTCTCACCCCGCCCTCACGACGTTTTCACCAGCGGCCATGGGTACCCCTAAGGCACACAACATGAGTGCGTTCGCACCTAAGGCGCCAGAAATCCGAACGGCACATGAAGCACCACAGCAGACAACTGCGAAGGCAAAGGGCGCAGACAAGGAGGGCACCATTACCGACAACGCTCAGCTGCCCAGATACAAGGCACCACCAAGTGCAATTGCCAAGAGGTGCCCGACTCCGACAGCCACGACAAGCCGAACATCGCCAAGGGCTACGAATGCATACGACACCCATACGCCATCGCTTGCGCCACTGGCTATCCGACTGCCGCCACCGCAGGCCAAGCAGCCCCGTCAACGCGCGCCGACGCTCAGGCCGAGGCTCCGGCCGAAGGCGCCGACAGTGACCAACGGCACCAGGGTGCTACCCTTGGACCATGCGGCAGTGACGACAGGTCGGGTGACATTGAGCAGACGAACGCCATCAGCCAGAACGAGCGCGACCAGGGAAGCGCAAGCCAACCCGCCCAAGAATAGGCACAACATGCAACGCAAGAAGGATACTTCCCCGTCGCGATTTTCTTCTGGACGGCTTTGAACCAGCCAGACGGCGACGTCAGGCAGGTCCGCATTGCGTACAAGGACTGGCTCCCAGAGGACCAGAACAAGGACGTATGCCTCGCCATCCACAAGGGCGAGTGCATCCACATCACCTCGACCCAGCCGCCACCCCCAACCCGAGGCAATGGACACCCACGGGCGACTGGGCATGGGGCAAACGGGCAACGAACGACGTCTCTCACCAGGCACATGAACACGGCGAGGGCCCTGACTCACCGCGCCGCCACACCGAGGGAATGGACCCAAGCCGCATGATCGAGCACGAAGCGTACATCGCCAGCATCACAGATACCATCGTGAACCTCCGCCTCAGCGTGGAAACGGAGGACCTGGACGAGTACCGCCGCGCAGTGCACGACATCGTGTATCGCACCATCTTCCACGAGAGAACCACACGCCGTCGGACCAACCAGCCCGAGGCGCACAGCAGGCCCACTGCGGACACAGGGTCCAGCGACTGCAACCACGATCAGCTCCAACATTCCTACCAACACGACTCAACCTGCCCACGCTGCCTCCGCCCACCAGACTCCCATTAAGGGAAGTGCGGATACCGAGAGCATGGAACAGCTGCGTCCGCAGCACCGACCCCAGCACAGCTTGGCAAGTACGAATTCCCTGCCCAATGCTGCCTGCAGGGCCCGTGGCACGGGCCACCCTCGCCGTGAGGAGCAACAGCATCAACACCATCTCTCCTAGCGTCAGCCCTCTTAAGCTGCAGCCGCACGCGCGGGGCGCAGATGCTTTCCCATGCCTCCACCAGTTTCGCTTTGACGGACGACTCTCTCCCTCTCAGTTGGCTGCCACTAGCCTCGCAATCTCTTATAGTTCTACCTTGCCCAACCAACGCAGTCAATGCCAATGGTCTCACCCACGGCAGCAGCAGCACCAGCGCCACCCGTACGACTGAACCAGGCAAGCCCTCCTCGCCCACCACGGCAGCGCTACTGGCGGCTTTCGACTGCAGCCACGGAGTGCTCCCAGACCCTCTCCGCCTTGAAGGAGCTTCCCATGACCCACCGTGTACGGCCTGGCCACTTGGAGGGTAGAGGGCCCTGGGGGACGGGTGCGGGCGTGGACATTATCGGCTGCGCTCAGCTCTCCGACCGCCGCTTTTCCCTGTGCTACCAATTCGGCCATCCCACGGACTCCAACCTTAGAGTGGGCCAGCCGCCCAACCCTCACCTCCACCTCACCTCTCGGACCTCTCCTCGGCGGAGTGCGGGACAATAATAGCGTGATTTGCGGCATAAGTGTGCTGAAAAGAACGTGGAAGAGGCGAGAGAAGCTGGACAAGTAGAGTTCGACGCCCCTTCCCCCTACGCCCCTCCGTGTCCTGGGCCTGCTGCTTGCTGCTCGTCTTCCCGCAGCCCCGCCGCTCCGGAAGGCCGCCACGGAGCTGCCCCTGGACGCCGCCTGCGCCGTGCTCTTCGCGGTGGTGGTGCACTGGCTCTGCGCCCTCCGCGCGGACCTGCCGAGCTTCGCGGCGGGGGTGGGTGGCGGGGGCGGCGCGGGGCAGGGGAGCCAGGGGTAGCCTGGGGAGCAGGAGGAGGAGGAGGGTGAGGCGGAGGACGAGGACCACCAGCGTAACCTAAGACTAGTCAGCGATGTTGGAAGAACCCCTCCCTCCAAGCTCCCTCTTCATAGGCCCGTACAAGGGTTCATGTCTCCACTTAAGGAACTGCATCGTTGGGAGAACCGCTTGAAGACCTTGAATCATGCCAAAACACCGTTCTCGGGATTTCAGGGCCACGAATCAACTTGATTGTTGCGTCTTGACGACGTCCTGAGGGGAGGTGTCCCCAAGGGGCTCCCGCAGTATGCGGTCAAGGTGGGCTGGCGGTGGACCAAGGCTGCCTGCCCCTACCCAGACAAGCCGTGCGAGGAGTGCGCAAGGCCGGTGGCGCCGAGCGCGCTTCTCTGCGCCGAGCCGGGGGCAGTGCTGCGGGCGGAGAGGCCCCTCCTGATGGGGCAGCGCGGGCTCGCGACGTCGACGGACGTGCCCGACTCGCTCGCGCGCGTGGACCGCTGGCACCTGATCGTCGCCGGGGCCCGGGACAGCGAGGAGCGTCGGAACGTGCTCGAGTGCAGGGCGGTGGTGATGGTGCTTCGGCGGCTGGCGCGCTGTCGGCGAAACTGGCGTCAGAAGGTGGTGGTGGTCACCGACAGCCTCGTGGCGATGGGCCGCCTGAGGAAGGGGCGCTCGTCGTCGCGGCCTCTCCGGAAGCAGGCGCGGGCCAGCGGGATCATCCAGCTGGTGCTCGGGGCCCGACCAAGGTTCCGCTGGGTCAGTTCCGAGCGGAACGCGGCAGACGGCCCATCGCGCGGAGCGCCCGTGGGGCCCGACCCCGACACGCTCAATAAGGGGGAGGCCCAGGCGTGGGGATTGCCCTGGGTGGTGAAGGCGAGGCTTCAGGCGCTTCCAAGGCATCGCCGACGTGGGCCTCAGCACTGGTGACGCTGCTGATGGTGGCGAGGGGAGTGGGGGCTGGGCGAGAGGCTTCGGCGGGAGTCCCCGAAGACCAACGTGAGCAGGAGCGCGGGTTCACGACTCTCCCCAAGCCCTCCACTTCCTTTGTGCCGCTGCGCAAGCGCGGGGCCAAGGCGTGGGAGCGTGGCAGCGACCGCCCGCTCGAGGATCTCGGGCGCTCGGTCAGCAAGCTGCTGGTGCACAAGGTGACGGGCAGTGCCAGTGAGATCTACGCCATGTGGGTACATGAGCTGCTGAACGATGTGCGCCAGCATGTAGTGCTATTTGAGTCACATGACGAACGTCACCGAGCTCTGGCAGCCTATGTCGTACCTGTGCTACTCGAAGAGGCTCTCGCATGTTCACGTTGGGCATCTGCTCTCAGGTTTCGTTCACATCTTCCCAGAGCATTGCCACGAATTGCCTCTTGGTTCGCGTGCTCTGTCGGCTTGGCAGATTTTCAAGATGGCACAAGATGGCGGGAGCTTCTGCCGTGAGGTGGCGGGGCTTCGGTGGCTGACATGCCGGAGCGGGGCAAGGTCGTGGCTGCGTGTGTGGCCTTCTTCACGTTCGACACCTTCTGCAGAGAGCAAGATTGGGCGTCGCTTAGAGTGGGCGACCTGGTTTTCGATGGAGAACATCTGGCAGTAGTGTTCGGGGACCGACGCCGAAGAGACGAGGTCAAGGCAGAGTCCAATCAGGGGCTGAACGTAGGGTCGCCCACCACCGTGGCGTTGCTGAGGGGTCTCATCGCTGGCTGTGAGAGCGACGATGTGGTCTTCCCCCTGAGCGTCTCGGGGTACATGCGCCACTGGATGATCAGCATGATGAGGCTCGGCCTGACGCACCTCGGCACGCCGCGCAACATGCGGCGCACGGCGGCGGGCGAGTTCGTGGCCAGAGGCGGGGCGCTGGAGAGCTGCCGCTGGCGTGGGCGATGAACTTCGCTGTCGTCGGCGCAGAGGTATACTAAAATGCATGAGATTTTTGAGGCTCGTGCCAGTCTGACCCCCCAGCAGCTAGAGCAAGGTCAAGCTTTTTGGAAGGCTCCTCGCGAGAGTTTCGGTCGACTTCTTGAGGCCCCTGCTTGCTCCCGTCTGGGGGTCGTCGCTGGGCTTCTAGAGCTTCTGGCGAAAGCGGCCCCGGGTGGCCATGGGGGCGACTGCGTCCATTTGTCCCTCGGGAGCGGGGCCCAGGGTGCGAGTGCAGTAGCTCGTGATTGTGCTCCTGTTCGGAAGAGGAGGGCCTCGTTAAGTTATTTTTTCTGGCATCTACCGACCCGCCCCAGAAAGAAGGGGCTACCGACCCGCCCCAGCAAAATTCTGCAGAGCCTTAGTTGGCGCGGTCTTGCACTGTGGCCGCCCGCGCGCTACAGATGCATGGCCCCTCGGGGACGTGATAAAACAGAAGGCGCGTCACATCGTCGGGTACCTGACAAATTCTCTTGCGGACCGAAATTGCTACAATCGTCTGGTCACTATTCAAGTCTCTGCTAGACTACTGCAGGAATCAGGGCCCGTCGAGGCGGAGGGGGCTTGAGCATTTGGCCGGGAGTTTTTCGGACCCAGGGAGGTGATCATATATGTTTGTAAGCTGTTTTTTCTCTCGCCTGTGTCCCCTGCTCCTTGCCGTCCGTTCCATGACCGTTTTTGCTCGAGCTCACCCGCCAGAACCCACCCTCTTTCAATAGCTTTAGTATCTTCCGACCGCCTGCAGCGGCCAGGTGACAGCGGAGAGGCGGCAGCAGGATTTTGCAGAGCTTTGTCTTGGTGGTTTATACATAATTGTATTTGTATACTTGCCTGCGTGTCTATTTGTGTACTTATATATAAAAGATCTTTCTATACATATGCTCTATGTATACATATTTGTATGTACGTAAATGCATATATAGATATCTCTCTATCTCTTTATTTATATGCATATCTATATACATATATATATGTATATATATATGTATAAATTTCTCTACCCCTCTATGTGTATATCTATCTGGTGGTGGCGGTGAAGATTTTGAGTGGTCGTGGTGGTGATGGCGGTGATGGTTCTGGGGCAACCGTCGGGACAACCGTCGGGACAACCGTCGGGACAATCGTCGGGACAACCATTGGGACAACCATCGGGACAACCATCTGGACAACTATCGGGACAACCACCGGGACAACCATCGGAGCAACCATCGGGACAACCATCGGGACAACCATCGGGACAACCACCGGGACAACCATCGGGGCAACCATCGGGACAACCATCGGGACCACCATCGGGACAACCATCGGGACAACTATCGGGACAACCATCGGGACAACCACCGGGACAACCATCGGAACGACCATTTGGACAACCATCGGGACAACCATCGGGACAACCATCGGGACAACCATCGGGACAACCATCGGGACAACCATCATCGGGACAACCATCGCGACAACCATCGGGACAACCATCGGGACAACCATCGTGACAACCATCGGGACACCCATCGGGACAACCATCGGGACAACCACCGGGACAACCGGCGGGGCAACCATCGGGACAACCAGCGGGACAACCATCGGGACAACTATCGGGACAACCACCGGGACAACTATCGGGACAACCACCGGGACAACCACCGGGACAACCATCGGGACAACCAGCGGGGCAACCATCGGGGCAACCATCGGGACAACCATGGGGACAAGGACAACCATCGGGACACCCATCGGGACAACCATCGGGACAACCATCGGGACAACCATCTGGACTCCATCGGGACAACCATCGGGACAACCATCGGGACAACCACCGGGACAAGCATCGGGACAACCAGCGGGACAACCATCGGGACAACCATTGGAACAACAATCGGGACAACCATCGGGACAACCAACGGGACAACCATGGGGACAACCATCGGGACTCCATCGGGACAATCATCGGGACGACCATCGGGACAAGCATCGGGACAACCACCCGGACAACCATGGGGATGACCATCGGGACAACCATCGGGACAACCACCGGGACAACCATCGGGGCAACCATCGGGACCACCATCGGGACCACCATCGGGACAACCATCGGGACAACTATCGGGACAACCACCGGGACAACCATCCGGACAACCATCGGAACGACCATCGGGACAACCATCGGGACGACCATCGGGACAACCATCGGGACAACCACCGGGACAACCAGCGGGGCAACCATCGGGACAACCATCGGGACAACCATCGGGACAACCATCGTGACAACCATCGGGACACCCATCGGGACAACCATCGGGACAACCACCGGGACAACCAGCGGCGCAACCATCGGGACGACCATCGGGACAACCATCCGGACAACCACCAGGACAACCATCGGGGCAACCATCGGGACAACCAGCGGGACAACCATCGGGACAATCATCGGGGCAAGGACAACCATCGCGACAACCATCGGGACAACCATCGGGACAATCATCGGGACAACCATCGGGACAACCATCCGGACAACCATCGGGACAAACACCGGGACTCCATCGGGGCAACCATCGGGGCTTTTATCGGGACAACCATTGGGACAACCATCGGGACAACCATCGGAACGACCATCGGGACAACCATCGGGACAACCATCGGGGCAACTATCGGGACAACCATCGGGACAACCATCGGAGCAACCATCGGGACAACTATGGAACAACCATCGGGACAAGCATCGGGACAACCATGGGACAACCATGGGACAACCGCGGGACGACCACGGGACAACCATCGGGACAACCATCAGGACACGAGCACGCCCGGGGTGGTGGGTGGCCCTTTGGGCTCCATGTGGCCTCTACCAGGAACTCCCGCAGCTTCGCCTCGCCTGCACGCACGACACGAACCGAAATCGAAACCGATTTCCCGGTGACAACACCCCCCAACCTTCGATTGTAACCTAGCGCTCAAAGCAGCGATGGGTGCCACAATCCCCCGGTGTCCTTTTTGGCCAGGGCGCTTCTTGAGTGTGACGACTGCAGGTGGAATTCCTGAGAGTGATGGGATCTGGCATGGCGCGGTGAATCTCACAGTCATGCCCCTACCTGGCCAGCCGCTGGACTGAAAAGGAGCTCGTGCCGTTGATCCATGCTAGTGATGTCGATTTGGCAGAGTTGCTCCTGGTCCGCTGGGTGCTGGCGGCGGCGGCGGCTGTCGGCGTGCCTCTGAGCCATGATTGCCTCTCGCCCCTCTCCCCCTCCCTTTCCTCCCCGGGCGCAGACGTCCGAAACAGATTGGCTCGTTTCGACGGAGTGTATCGCAGATCCCACGCAGCGTATCCAGGCCATTTGCGAGTAGCTACTTTGCGAGTAGTGAAGCGCGCTCGTCTATTTCCCTCCCTCCCCCCCCTCCTGAGTCGCTCGGGCTTTCGGTGTCGGCGACGTGCGAGGCTCGGGCCGCAGGGCGCCTGACCGTGTCGGGGGTCCCGCGCTGGCGGTCGTCGGCCTCCTCGCCCTCCTCGTCCTCGTCCTCGCCGCCGCCGCCGATGCCGCGTCGCGGCGGCGGCCGCGACAACCACGGCATTGACAACGCCGCCGAACTGATATTTTTAGTCCGCGGGTCCACGCTCTCGACCTGTTCCCCAGCAATCCGCACGGTGGCGGCGGCCGCAGCGGACACGGCGGCCACAGCGTTGACATCGTCGTCGTCGTCGTCGATCTTCCGTCGTCGTCGTCATCGATCTTCCGTCGCCGTCGGTGCTGCCATCTGCCGTCGTTCGTCGCCGCCGCCG